ACATTTTATTTAAGATAAATGTTTCAAATTTCCTTATTAATAAACTTCGTTTGCACTATGTACTTTTTGCAAATTTCGACGTGGGTTTTGCGCAAAAAATACTGTGGACGGCGTGAGCCGGAAGCCCCTCTTCCCCGCAACACAGTAAGGAGAATTCTACTTAGTAAGGGTTATAATTCCTAAGCGCGGCCGAAGGCAGAAGCAAGGGCAACAGGTGGTGGACCTAACAAAGTGCATGTTTTCAATGGCTTGGAAGAAGCTGTTATTGCATTAACTGGATTGAGAACCAGAGCTTCAGGCATAGGAGGAGTTATGGCTTGTGGTTCAATAATTCAACCAGAAGCTGACATAGATGCGCCCATGGTGACTATGCCCCACAGCTCCGCATACCTTTGTGAATCCATTGCCATAGCGCCCTCTTACTCTGCTGCTATAATTGTAAATGCATCAGAACCCATAATTTTCCTCAAAATATGTAAAATTAACCAATTTTACAATAAACAAACACATGAGTGTTTTTTTATTTCTTTTCCACTTTGTTTTCCTTCATTCAGATATCTTCGAAAAACAACTGATAGCTGGCAATGCTGCACATGTTTCCGCAAGGGTTGCAGCATGTGGATTTTTCGTTTTTCGTAGCGTAGCTTTTTTCGGGTTCTAGAATAAGGGGGTTAAACATGTTTTTTAGTCATTACTAAAAAATACCACATTTGGTGTGAACATTTGGAGTAAAGTAAACGGATGCGATTTTTGTTATCAAATTTATTTAATCTAACAGAAATATATATATTAGCCGTGTTTTATTTGTCCAGAAATTTAAGCTATTAGCTTATTTTGTATGGAGGACTTACCCAACATAATTATATTGGCTTATGAAAAGCTATCTTGGCTTATATATTGAACAAGAGGCACTGCCATTCATCTTCAGAAATTTTCTCCTTCAGCCAATCAGAAAGAGGCAAAAACTTACTTTGACACTATTTGCAGTCTAAGGGCCGTTTGCACCATGTCTAGTTAACGCTAACTGGAGGTACATCCTTCAGTTAAGCACGTTAACTGCTTTATCGATCACATGTTATATGATGGGTGTCGATAACGTCGATAAAGATGTTTAACTGGGAGTTAGAATTAACTAGACATGGTGCAAACGGCCCTAACAACTGTCAAAATTAGGCTAACGTAGGAAATAAGCTAATTTCGTTTTATTTGACCAAGACTTAGCTATTTGCTTGTGATGGTTGGATAAAACATGCTTATTATAACTCGATAAGGTTTAAGTCTTGCCATAGCTTCCATTCGCTGAACTGTGGATAATCGTTTTCCAATTCTTTCGCGCGATCTTCTTCTGATAAGCCGATTTTTTTATAATTGAGGTAAAGAGCCTTATCCTTAAGCTGGTGCGAAATGATTTTTTTGATGATTA